TGTTACAAAGTCCTGACCTCTCAAGGTCAACCTTCAAGGTAAAACGCGGGCTGTAAGGAGGGGGAACTCCATACCACCTAAAGATACCTGGCCTATTTTAGGCTTACAAACATCAGAATATTTTCCACAGAAAGCACTAGCATCCGTCAAAAAATCCTCACGTCCCAAGGTCACCCTTTAAGGTCAAACGCGGGCTCAATGGACGGGGAAATCCACATCACCTAAAAATTACCGGCCGATTTTTAACTTACAAAATAAAAACATTCACTACAGAAAGAGCTAGCGTCCGTTAAAAAAGTCCTGACCTCTCAAGGTCACCCTCCAAGGTCAAACGCGGGCTCAAGGACGAGGCACTCCTTGTCACCGAAAAATTACCGGCCGATTTTTAACTTGCAAACATTCAGATATTCGCCACAGAAAGAACTAGCATCCGTCAAAAAGCCTTGTCTTCAAAAAAGCATTGAGAGGTATTTTTGTTAATTTTTGGGTGATTGTCCTTTGAGCCCGTGTTTGACCTCGAAAAGTGACCTTGAGAGGTCAGGACTTTTGGACGGACGCTAGTTCTTTTTGTCTTGAATATTCTGACATTTGCAAGTTGAAAATTGGCCGGTAATTTTTGGGTGATATCGAGTTGCCCTTCCTTTGAGCCAGCCTTTGACCTTGAAGGTCACATGATATTGCAAAACTATGGTAATTCTTGGTGTCCTCATGCCACAATTGACCTTGAAGCTATTTTTCAGGGAAATCGGGACTCGTTGATGAGAAAATCGCTCAATAAATCGCCCACTTCACGAACATTCAGCTTTTGGCTGGGAACGATTAAGTACCACTAGTGCTCTTCTCGCGGCGCCCCTTGCCCAGCAAACATAATGGGTCTCATTAGTGCTGAATAGAGTGGGTCAAAATGAATTCAACTGGAAAAGGTCAACCCATGGTTGCCTGTGAGCATGATATGTTTTCGCGGAACCTGCCAGGGAAACAAATTACCCCAAAAAGCGTTTAGCCGGCGTGCTTGCAATTTCAGGAGCAAGAACAGCGATGGCCGGGCTTGCAGTCTTCGTAAAACCGAACGGTGTTGGCCACTGCAACAGGTACCATGCGGCGGACGCCGTGCGTGCGAAAACGACCGCCATGAAACACTGTTTCCGGAAACTTTTCAAAGTCAGTTGGTACTTAAGCGCTGGGGCCTGTCTTTTTTATCTGAGCATGTCTTCTGGGCAGATTGAAAGTAACAGCAGCACCAAAATCGAGATTCCTCCTTCCTCTTTCCTTTCCACCGCCAGATTCCAGCGTTGTAAAGGCTAATCCTTTCTTCTCATTAATCTAAAATTCGCTCAGGTGGAATACATAGCCGGCCTGTCTTCTACGTGTGCGACGTGATGACCTAAAGCGTTCAAAGGTATTTCTTTCGGATGTGTCATCTTTTAAGTCCGGCGGTCCGCTTTCAGACAATTTTTTACCAATTTATACGTCCAATCTGCCTTTCGGGATTATCATTACCTCTTTAGAATCCAGACCAAAATTTTGGCAATGATTCTGAGTTCTATCGGCTTAGAAAGAGTTCACTGAACCATTTGAAAGTGAAAGTCACCAGCGATTTATTCCACGCAGTCGGATGTCGCCAGATTTCTTCAGCTAATGTACTTCAAAATTCAGACGGAATTGATCTTACGGTGGCTCCTAACCTCCTTCCCAGCTAAGGAGTTTAATGATGATGATAAAACAAGGAAAACCGTGCCCCTCATTAATAAGTGAGCCATATTCGGCATCTGGGGGAAGGGCCTTCCACCGCCAGGGGGCCCTCTGTCGCTCCCCCCCCCCCCCCCCCCCCTCGTAGCCAAGGCTCTAGCTGCACTTCTGATGTGAAGCACAATATTTTTATGCACAGGCTCTGGTCTTATGCGCATGAATTCCTGCTCGTTCTTCTCCAGTGTGCAGTACTGCACACAACAGTTGTTCCCGGACTGGGGTAAGGCCAGTGGCAGTTTTTGCCAACTATGTAAAAGAAACGGAGGCAATGCTGCTTCCATTGCTACGCCGTTTCCGATTAAAAATGAAAACAAGATTATTAGGAAATACAAGAAGTCAAATACACGACCGGCGCTTGATAGTTGGTAAGAAAGTGACCCGCTACCTGCCGGCCATATTTCTGTGTTTGCCTAACAGACGAACACACCAGGTGGAAGCTGTGTGGTAAACTGGACACTGTCGTACTGCCAGCCATTCCATGCTTGAGTCCATCATTAGCATTCCACGGCATGAGCGGAACACGGAATATCTAGAGACTCACTAAAACATTTCGGTTTATGCTTTTTTTAAAAAAAACCTCAAAGAGGCCGACGATGATGCGGTTAATACCGCCGAAACCGACACGCTTCTCCACCCCACCCAGCCCTAACCGTTCCTGGCATGTTTGCAACCCTGCAGCCACAAAGTTACCGTCTGACTCGCGACGGCTTCAGCGGGTCTCCGCATCTCTCCAACTTTCTCTCTTTATCTCCATATATATATATAGATATATATATTATATATATATATATGCATACGTATATTTTCGGCACGACTGCCGTCTGCGCCTCTGCATTGCTCAGAGCTCCCTAGGTTTCAGTAGGTCTGCTGCTCTGCAGCTTCAGAAGCCCTAGGTTTCAGTAGGTCTGCTGCCTCTGCATTGCTTCAGAGCTCCTTAGGTTTCAGTAGGTCTGCTGCCTCTGCATTGCTTCAGAGCTCCCTAGGTTTCAGTAGGTATGCTGCCTCTGCATTGCTCAGAGCTCCTTAGTTTCAGTAGGTCTGCTGCCTCTGCATTGCTCAGAGCTCCCTAGGTTTCAGTAGGTCTGCTGCCTCTGCATTGCTTCAGAGCTCCCTAGGTTTCAGTAGGTCTGCTGCTCTGCATTGCTTCAGAGCTCCTTAGGTTTCAGTAGGTCTGCTGCTCTGCATTGCTTCAGAGCTCCTAGGTTTCAGTAGGTCTGCCTGCCTCTGCATTGCTTCAGAGCTCCCTAGGTTCAGTAGGTCTGCTGCCTCTGCATTGCTTCAGAGCTCCTTAGGTTTCAGTAGGTCTGCTGCCTCTGCATTGCTTCAGAGCTCCCTAGGTTTCAGTAGGTCTGCTGCCTCTGCATTGCTTCAGAGCTCCCTAGGTTTCAGTAGGTCTGCTGCCTCTGCATTGCTTCAGAGCTCCCTAGGTTTCAGCAGGTCTGCTGCCTCTGCATTGCTTCAGAGCTCCCTAGGTTTCAGTAGGTCTGCTGCCTCTGCATTGCTTCAGAGCTCCCTAGGTTTCAGTAGGTCTGCTGCCTCTGCATTGCTTCAGAGCTCCCTAGGTTTCAGTAGGTCTGCTGCCTCTGCATTGCTTCAGAGCTCCCTAGGTTTCAGTAGGTCTGCTGCCTCTGCATTGCTTCAGAGCTCTCTAGGTTTCAGTAGGTCTGCTGCCTCTGCATTGCTTCAGAGCTCTCTAGGTTTCAGTAGGTCTGCGGTCGATGACTCCTGAGGGCGGTGCCTCTCTCTGCCGTCATTGGAGTGTTCACGGTCGTACCGAGCCGTCTGGGGGTCTGCGGCACCCCTTGATCACACGGACCATGGTTCGACCGGTCCCGGAGCCAGATGAGCCGTCTGATTAACAGCACTCTTCTAACCACCTGTCCCACAGCACTTCTTGCACGTATATGCTACTGTTGCAACGTGCTTTGCCCATGAGACTTTGCGTTTCTTGGCAATCATTTTCTGGGATATGAGCCGTATGCGTTTGCTAGTTGAGCCATGCTATCAATAATGGTAGCCTTATTCGACTCTATTTTGTTGTGAGGTCTCACGTCAGGATTTGGCAAGGTCAAATCCTGCTCATCAGAGTCTTAGGCATGCGCATCGCTCAGGACATATCACGGCTAAAAACATCAGGATCAATTCACCGGGTGTGTATTAAACACTATTCCATACAGTATGAATATATTGTACATTGGCATTCGCGCCGACGAGAAATAAATAACAACGCACCACCTAAAACGATGACGGCTCAGAAGAAACAATCGCAGAAAAGCCCATGAGCTGCAGCGAAAACAAAACAAATTTGCTGCAGCTGGTGAGATCAGAATCAATCAGCTCTTCCGCATTTTGTACTGAGCCTCAGCCTACACTGGCACTAGTAACCAAGGGAAACACGCAGCCAAAGCGGATAGAGTCCAATGCCTCGACAATGTTTAGCGTAGTATGCGTAACAACTGAGCCCAATAACAGGTTGCGAACTAGCCGCCAGGACGTGCGAAGGACGTGCCACCAGTCCAGGAGGCCGTTCGATCGCCCCAGACTGGACCAGGCCCCGCCGATTTACCAGCGGCAACAAAAGCAAAACGGTAACAGCATTCGCGACACATGTACACTGGAGCTGACCATAAACAGGAAAATGGAGATTACGCACTGCTTGATTTTTACAACTGGTGTGAAGATCACAGAGTATTGAGTATGGTCGATTTCACTTAATCGGGCACGCAGTACGGCCATGCCCATTTTCGTCCCCGATCAGTTGAATCAATAGGACTCAAGGAAAAGGATACACAAAATGAAGCAGTTGAAGATGTTGGGCGATGCGACATGGGGGAGACGATTGTTTGAGTTATGGGGGCCTATTTCCAAAACGGTGCATAATGCCATGAAAGTGCCTGACAAGTCCTGAAAAAACACATTTCGCAGTTCAAATGCAAAATGATGCCTTGCAGCGATTTTGCACAAGCCACGGAAAATCGTCGTTGTACGTTTCGCGGTGTGCTTCGAAGATTAGCCAATTCTACAACACATGGCTTTCAACTAACAAGAATGGCCGCACGGAATAAGAACACTTCGAGTTCAGAGAACAATAACCGGCGGACACAAGAGCAAGCAAGGAAGCATCACTGTATGCCATCATAAAGTTGAGCTTAGGTCGGCGTTGCCTACCATGCTTGCGACCTTGTATACCATTTAGTCGGGGCCTGTACAACATCAATGTCGTGAGTATCACCAACTGATTTACATTTCTGGCGCATACACATATTATTGCTTACAGAATCATGCTCGTTGAAAAATCGACAGCGTCTCAAAAGTAAATCTACGCCCGACATCGAAGATCTCTACATCATATTGCACCTATGGCTATCCAGTCCCTCCAAGACGCGAAAACAGCGATACGATAAGCACGGTAAAAGCATTAAGTGTAAAGAATACTGTACAATGCCACGGAAGTTTGCAACTGAGTCACCAGAAATATTACATACACAACGTCGCCATCGAAACAGCCAAGGTCTCGTTCTGCGGCCGACCCACGTCGCATCGGCGGCAGGAGCTGGCCGCGATCAACGGCCGCAGCTCGCGGAGCGGCGTCGCCGCCGGCTACGAGCACTCGATGACGTGCAGCTGAGAGGTGTCGATGACCGAGGGGCGTGCGGGCGGCGGCGGCGGCGGCGCGGCTGGCTGGTAGCGCGGCGCCGCCGGCGGCGGCGGCGGCCCGCCAGGTGGCACCACTGAGCTGCTCGGCGACTGGCGGCCGGCCCACTCAGCTGCCTCGGCCACCACCGACGTCACGCTGTCGTTGCTGACGTCACTGAGCGCCAGCTCGGGCCGCGGCGACAGGCTGGGCTGCGAGCCAGGGCTGCGGCCGCCGGCCTCGCGCCCAACGCGCAGCTGCCGCTCCTGCTCGGCGGTTGGCTTGCATGTGGTCGACTTCCAGTGGGTGCGCAGGCCCGACGCGCTGATGTAGCGCTTGTGGCACGACTCGCACGTGAACGGCCGCTCGTTGGTGTGCAGCCGCTTGTGTAGCTTCAGGTGCACGAACTGCGTGAAGCGCGACGGGCAGATGTCGCACACGTACGGCTTCTGGCCCGAGTGCAGTCGCATGTGCGTCTTCAAGTTCGAGGTGGAGCTGAAGCGCTTGTTGCAGAGCTGGCACTCGTGCGGCTTCTCACCTGGGAGGCAAGGACGTTGGATGAGCAACGACGGATGAGAAGCGCACGTATTCATTGTGAGCGCGATTCGAGAAGCATATGACAATCCTACGGACACGACAAACAGCAACTACTCGACAAAAGCAACTTACGCTTGAACCCTTCGCATATTTAATGTGTTTAACCGTCCACCCCCACAACACCTGAGAACTGCCACCCACCGTCCATACAGCGCCCAGCTACACTCACCGGTGTGGACCAGGTTATGCTTCTGCAGGTGCGCCAGCTGGGTGAAGCTCTTGCTGCAGACGTCACACTTGAAGGGCCGCTCGCCGCTGTGCGTGCGCAGGTGCACCTTAAGGTTGCTCAGCTGGCCGAACGTCTTGAGGCACTGGTTGCACTGGTAGTGCATCTTGCCGTCCTTCTTCTCCAGCGGGTAGGGCAGGGAGCGGAAGCCGCGCGGACGCTGCTCGCCGCCCGACTCGCCGCTCGCCGCCGAGGCCGTGCTCAGCCCGCCCGGCGACAGCTGCGACGCCGCGAAGCTCGGAAACTTGTCGCCACGCCCCGGGTACGCCTCGCTCGCGTACGGTGCGTACTGGTACTGGTACGACGGGAAGCACGGGTACAGCGGTGTGGAGGAGGTGGGCAGCGGGCCGGGTAGCGCCGGCGGCGGCGCCGACGGGCGCGGCGCCGGCGCCGGTGCCGAGCTCGAGTCCGGACTCGGCTGCATCGAGTCCGGATAGCGCTGGCCAGGGTGGCGGTAGTAGTAGCCGCCAGGCGAGGTGTTGGAGTCGGGCGCGGGCGTCGAGTCGCTCGCAACGATCACCTGTACTGGCTCAAGTAGGCGCGGCTCGTCTTTCTTGTAGAGCAGGATGTTCTCGAGCAGGCTGCTGTTGGGCCGCGCGCCCACGGGGTCGACGCCGTAGCGGCGCAGCCGCTCCTGAAACTCGCGCGACCCTGGCTCGCGTCCCACCTGCGTGCTGTCCGAGACCGGCTGGTACGGCGAGTCGGCGCCCGGCGAGCGCGCCGCTCGCCGCTCGCGGAAGAATGGCGCCCGGTACGCCTCCGACACCCAGCTCTGGTCGGGCACACGCTCGCTGCCGCCGCTGACGTGCGACTGCTGCGGTGCCGCCGGCACCGTCGGCGGCGGCGGTGGCGGCGGCGCCGGTGCGCTCAGCACGTGGTAGGTGGGCGGCGTGCAGGGGCTGGAGGGGCGCGCCTCGGCCAGCCGCGGGCTCGCCGCCGCCGGGCTCGACGGACGCGGCTCGGGCGCGTGCCGCGGACTCGCCAGCGGCGGGCTGAAGGCGGCGGCGGCGGCGGGCCGTGACAGCGCCGACGCTACCTCCTCGTGCGGCTCGGCTGATGACGAGTCCTGGCGGCGCCGCTCCGCCTCGTTCTGCGACTTGATGTGGTACGCCTTGGACATCTTGATCTTGACCTTGCGGAACTCGTTGCGCGAGTCGTCCTCGTCGCGCCTCCGCTTGCTCGTCTTGCTGAAGTCCAGCACGTAGTTGTTATCGGCCTCCTCGTCGCTGCTGGGCTCGTGCGGTGGCGAGTCGTCCTGGTACTCGTGGCTCAGGTAGCCCTCGTCCGAGCGCACTGGCGAGATCTGTGTGTGCGCCGCGTACTCGGCCCGCTCTGGCGCCGCCGGCTCCAGCTTGACCTCGGGCCTCGTCTGCTCGCAAGGCTGGTCCACCTTGACGCGTTGCTCTGAGGATAGAGAAATGGGCAACGTCAGCAAGACGACTTAAAATGAGTAGCAAATGGTTGTCTTACCAGCGTTATGATTGTCGCGTTTTAATATTGTCATGACCGAATCAAAAAAGCGAGTCGGCAAGCCCAATGCACGAATGGCATCCAATGCCCACGTCTGGTTTAGCTCAGGCGTGCAAGGCTTGCGCAATACAGAGGAATCCATCGAGGTCGATGCCCCTAAACCTCGTGCCGCGCAGCAAGGTCAATGTCAGCCGTAAACAAATGACGGAAGCGAGATCACTCACGGATCTGGTCGAGCATTAGCGATCCAGACACGGGGTAGTTCAGCCGCTGAGCAAACTCGCGGCAGTACCACACCATCATCTCCTCGCCCGGCTGAATGTCGCGGATCGTGTAGAAGTAAATGTTTTGCTGAAACAATGGCATTCTGTCAGGATTGCGCACTACAGAGGACGTTTCTGCAGAGCCCTTAAGACTCGGTCCGGTTGGGAAATCAGGCGCGTTTGCATTGATGCACGCTTTCACAGCTTTGGGGCAAAGCGAGGTCCTGATCGCATTAACGTAGCAGTAGGAACTTTTCACGCGAGGTGAGCACCCCAGCTGGTTTAGTCACTCCGGCAAATCAGATGGAGAACCGGCGGGGCCAGCGAGCTACCCTGCACCCGGGCCACACCGTGACGTCCTTACCTCGTGTTGACACGCCACTAAGTTCTGCGAGTCGGGCGAGAACGCCGGGTTCACGTATCGCATCCAGTTCGACTTTCTGGTGTCGCAAGCGTCCAGAAAGTAATAGTCGTCCTTGGAGGTGTACACCTGCGCAGCGGACGCGCAGAGGTCAGCCGACGGACGCGGCGTGAGCGGCGCAAACACTGCGGCACAAACGCCACGCAATCGATTCACGTCCCGAAGCTTAGGCGGTTGAAAGTGAGTCTGTTTCATCCTCTGATGTTACGTAATGCGGCTGCACGGACCTCTCAGGCAGCTCAGGACGCCAGCGAGGTGTGGATCCCAGCAAAAGGGAAACCCGCCAGCCACGAACTGCGCATGCAGCGGCGCGAGGCGCCCCCTCAACAAACGCGGGCCAGGCAGGTAGGCAGAGAGGTTAGCTGAAGGTGAGAGTTGTGATGACGCAAGACGCGACGGATCTGGCAAAAATGGCTTATCAGATGTTAAGGGCACACATGCAAGCACCATGGTTCTGGATCACGCGGCGCTTTGGCAGGACCACATGGCCATGACACAGAAAGAAGGCTTTCATGCATTTCCAAGAAGCGGTGTTATTTCCAGGGTACCTGATGTCTTGCGATGCTTTCCCAGCGGTGAGGGTAGTAGAGCGGACAGAAATCCTGGGCAAGAAAGACGATGTTTCAATCCCGGCACTGCAATAGGCGAGCATTTTTTTCTGGCTGGACACGTTCTCGCCAAGCCCCAGTCACCACCACCACCATTGTTTTCATCACAGCCGTAGCAAGCTACTCGCTTACCCTCCAGAAATATTTCTTGATTGCCGTCGGTGACACCTCGTGCCTCTGGAGCGCTTCGCCCACCAGAGGCCCGAAGCGGGTGCCCTTTGGAAGACCAATCTTGGCCCGTACCCCGGGAACCTGCCAAAATAGACGCGTCGGTTAAGACAGTGTCAGCCAGAGACAGCCGGCACCACACCCGATAAAAACCGCCACGCAGCCGACCCAGCACCTATTTTAAAACATTTTATGCTAAGCAGCTCGCCGCATAAGGCGGCTGCATTAACAGGCCGGCCGTTCGGGGTGGCCCGACCGGTTGGACAGGGTGTCAACAGGGGCACAACGGAGCCGGGTGACATCCAGAGGCGCAGCCGGGCAGCAGTCGTCTGGTTACGAACGGTATGGCCTCAGCCACCGGCCATTTTTACCCGTACGCGACGCACGCAACGACACCACATCCGGCGGGGGCCGGGGGGCGGCCCGACCGCTTGCACCGGACCTCGCTCCACCCTCCCCTCCCCTCCACGCGTACGTACCCCGTCTTTAATGATGACGTTCTTGGGCCGCGAGGCGCGCGCCCGATCGGGCACGTCGGTGCCGGTCGGCGAGTCGCGCACGAGAAAGGTAGCGCGCGCGTCGAATTCGCCCTCGCAGAGGTCGTCCACGCTCCAGCTGGTCTCGTCCAGCTCCGAGGTCGGCATCTGCGGGGGGACGTCACGTCAGACGAGGGCCGGTGCAGGTCACTGCTCGGCCGGCAGCGCTCACCAGACGCTGTGCAGTTCGAGTCACGACAGCGAGGAGCGTTTTCGTCTGGCGACCGAGCGACTGCAGCGCGCTCAGGAGGAAACTCTGGCAAGAGTTGACCTTCATCCGATTACTTTGCAGGATCGGCGTGCGGTTTTGCCAAACGATCTCTTCCATCTATGGTTGCACGGAGTCGACGCAGAGCTGGCTCACACGAGGAAGTGTGCGCCTTATCTTGGGATCGGATGACAGCGTAGGCGAAACATATATTACAACCTACGCACTTTTATGTATGGATCCCGGAACCGCAAATCCTTACGGGGCCAAGGAAGACCATGTGAGGTGCGTGCGCAGCCTGGGTAGGGGGTTCGTGTTAACACCGAGGCCACATGGACTCGCTGCCCTCCTGATAACGGAGCATTAGCGCGCTGCAGTTGGGCCACCGGGGGAGGGGAATGGGGGAGGGGGGGGGGGGCGGCCAAGGTTGCAGCGCATCGATCGGTTGGCGAGTCGCGCGTGTGGCGCGGCACGTGAGGGGGGTGTGGCGCGCCACTCCCCCTCCCCCTCCCCGGCGCACCTCGCCGCCGGGTCAGGGTCACGGTCACCGGTGCATGTGCAGCCGGCCTCAGCGCGAATCGGTGTGTGCTGGAGCTGGGCCGACAGAACGGACTGACGAAAACCAGGTGTCTGCAGCTCAAAATACAGACCCGCACCTTTTGAGGCTGCCCATCCAACTGCTATGTTCTGTAGTATTGATTGCTAAAATCAGTGGCTCCGCAGTTCTCGTGGCCAAAATCTGGCGTTTTACGTGACAAGCGCCGATGCCTAGAGCGATCGTCGTTGGCGTGTTGCCAAGCCATGACGACCATATCTTCAATACATCGAGCCAGCGCTACGTTTCCCTGAAATGGCCCTTTACAAGCCAAGGTGACGTACAGCCGAGCACCGGGGCCAATCAGAGCATACGCCGACTGTGATGAATGAGCTGGAGTTTCCGCGCACATGGTGGCTTGCGGGCGTGGGGAGCGAACCTTGAACCCCGCCGCCGCCAACAGCGGCCCTGCAACATGCTGCAGGGGGGCTCCGCGTCGCGCGGTTTCGGACGACTCACGCGACGGCCGCCGTGGCGACCTTCTGGCAGGTATTTTTGTGGGAGCTCCGGATTATAGGCGGCAGGCGTCCGTCGCCGCCTGACCTACATACAAGGCGGACGGACATGGCCGCCTGCGGGAAAGTACGCGGCGGCTCGGCCATGCAGCAGGGGGCAGGCAGTGGCTGCACGTGAACGAGCGACCGTGGCATTGACGACTGCGCCATTTCGTAGGTGTGATGTCATCGCGAACCGGCGAATAAGCTTAGCAACACACGGACATCCGCAAATCGCACAAAAGGTTTAGCAGGCAGCACGTTCACGACCATGCCGCGCGCGTGGTGCGGTGTCGACCGCGGGCTTTTGGCCGCAGCGCTCAGGGAGAGCACACCAGGCACAATATCTCGCCGCCACCCTCCACAGCCCGCATCGCGGCAGCGACCTACCTCCGTATCGCTCGCGCGGCCGCGGGTCAGCGACCGCCGGGGCGCGCCGCGAAGCGCGCGCTCCACTTGCGCTCCACACAAGCCCAGCCTGGCGGCAACTGCCGCGCGCGAGCTGGCAGCCGGCACAAAGGCGCGGCGGAGTCGGGCGCCGACTTCGCCGTACTGGGCAAAGGCGCACAACTGGCCGGCCGGGCGCCAGCCGGGATGACCTTGCCCTTCGGCGCCCGGGCCGCGCCCGCGGGGCCCTCCGGGGGTGTTGTTTGCCGTCGCCGGCGGGGGGAGGGTGTTTGTTTACATGCACCCGGGGACGGACGAGTTCCGCGCGCCGCGGGCCTCCGGCGGCGCGTGGTAACGGCCCCGGCGCGCGCTTTTGTCTGCTCCGCGCGCCTCGCCGTGTCGTTGAACCCTGCCGGCCGGCGCTGACCTTGAGCGGCCGAATGACGCACATGTGCTCGTCCCAGGGTCGGCGGCGGGACCATTTTACGGCGCGGCGGCGCGGGCGGACCGCCCGGCGCCCTGCCCACGGCGCTGTCACACCGGAAGCGGCGTGATGGCGGCCGTGACGCCTCCCCCCCCCCCCTCTCCCCGGGGTATGGTTGCCGAGGGGGCGACACGTACGCAGCATGCAGGGCCGATTCGGCGGAGGAGTGTTGCGCAAGCCGCCTACCGCGTTGCGTGACGCAGCGACGAGCCAAGCCGTGGCGCATTTGGCTGCCAGGGCGACGAGAGTGGATGCAGTGCGACGCGGCCACGACGCCGTCGCGCTTGTCGCGTTCGTCGCATAACGGCTGTGCGCCCCGCCAAGTCGGTTGAGATGTCGGCACACGCTCGCGTTCACGCGCGCGTCAGCATGCAGTTGCACCACAAAATAACAGATGTCCTCGTCCTGTGGCGCCTGACGCCGATGGCTCAAAAGTCCAAGAGGCCGCACAGTTCACGGGCGTAACGGTCGTCAACCCCCTGTCATCCTTCACCACATTGCCGGTGCAGATGACCCCCGCCAGGGTCGGCCGGGGTGCTGCGAGGGGGTGGGGGCGGGGAGGGACCAGATCGGTTGGCTCGCCGCCAGCGGCGCACCTGCTCGGCCGTGACGCGCCGCCGCCCGACACCCACGTGACCGCGACCTTCGGGCGCGGGCGGCAGCAGCCGGTCGACACGTGACCGCGCCGGCCGGCCCTCCGGCAATCAATACCGGGTCCAGGATTTCGCAGGGTTCGGCGACCCTCCGGCGCCGCTGGACGCTGCCCGCGCGCGGCCACACGCCCTGCGGCCGGGGGTAACACGCGCCTGTGACGGGCACGCCAGCTGGCGCGTCCCCGACGCGGCAGCCGGGCCCGCTGGTGGTCAGGTCAAGGGCCTGTGACCTGACTGGGCTTGACCGAGAGAGCAGTCCGCAGAGGTCAGTCTGGGGTCGGCCGGGGTGGTTGTACGGTGATCAAGAGCCTCTCGCTCTCCGCTGGAATATTAACAGGGGATTACAGCGGAAGATCTTGGCATGATGTCACCAGCCATTGTCTCGCACACGCGCAAAAGCTGCGGATGACCTTCCCCGTCGATGAGGGTTGTTCCGTCATCAACACCGCGAAGGGACAGGACCCCGCTGCAGACCCTATACCGAAGGGCAGCTGCTGACCTGTTTGTCGGGCAGCGCGTATTAAATCCCGGCCGGCTCCCTCCCTCCCCATCTATTCCTGTTTGTGTAACGGGGTCTGCTCCTCCCCTGCCGGTCGGCTTGACCCAATTACCGTGCTCCCCTCCCGTTATCTAAGGGCTCATAAATACAGCTGAGGCGGCGTCCTTCCCGGTGCGGGCCGGCTGTTCTACCGGGAAACACGGGCGAAAACAGCGCCGCCTGTGTACCCCGACCGTGCACAGGGGACGGTCCTCACGGCGCAGGGGCGCAGTCAGGAATAAACCCTGGCCGAGTTTTGAAACGGACTTAATGTAGACTGATATGCAACATATGCTGTGGGAGGATTCGAGCGACTATGAGAACTTGAGCGGACTGTTTTAAGATAACGGAATTGAAGGCTTCGAAGCAAAACTGGAGTTGTGACTTGCTCAGTGTTCGCGTACTTCTGGTATGAAGGTACTTCCGCTCACGCACTCTCTGGACCCGACCCTGCTCCAAACGATAATATACCGGAGAGCCGAGTGACCGCAGGGGTTTTCTGGAGGGGGAGACCCATGTGCGGCCTGTTGTGGTCATCGCTGACCAGCCAGACGTACCGAAGGACGGCGCTCGCCGGCTCGAAAACACAGTGTGAATGCGTGCCATTCTTCCGGGTAGGCGAGTGAACAGAGGGAGAGAAAACATGCCGAGCCTTCCGGGAGCAGTGGCGACATTCCATCGCCTGGCACTGGCCGGTGTGTCCCGCTCGAAGAGTGGCGCCGACGAGAACAACAAGCGCGCGGCAAACAGGCGACGTTGGTGCGAACAACGCCGCCTGAGGGTCCGTCAACCCGGCGAAGGGCTGCGGGCGTCCGTTTCTCGCGGATGCGGGGCCGCCACCCAGCCTGAGAACCATGCGGTCCACGGCCGCTGGTGCTAGCGTCTGGCGCCGAGAAGTGTAACGGTACTCTCACCGGGCTGCGGCAGGCCGCGGCGGGCCGCGTCCCCACCCCCCACCCCCGTCCTGTTGGCCTCCCTCTGCGCATGGGCCCGGCGCGGCGCAAACAAGTGGGGGAGGGCATGGGGGAGGGCGTAGAGCCGCGCTGCGGCCGCCGGCAGCTTCCCGGCGCTGATCAAAACACGGCGGCGTCCGGTACGCGGAAGGACCACCTGCCCGCCCCGGGTCGGCGGCCCGACGCCCAGGTCGGTCCGTGGCCCCGGCGCTGGCGGCCGGTGGGCAGCGTCGGCGCTGTCCGGCGGCGCCGTGGCGGCGTCTCTGAGGCGTACCATGACGGCGTCTTATCGCGGGGCGTGCCATGACGTGGTCCCATCTCGGGGGCGTAGCAGAGAGACACGTCACCTGGGCGCGCACCGGCAGTGTCTGACCAGAGACGCAGACAGGTCACGCTACCAGCTGCTGGACAGCCGCGAACTCGTACGGGTCGACGGTGGCGAGGGGATGTACAGAGCCGGCAAACAGGGCTGCGTGCCACCGTTCTCAAAATGAGCGCAATAAGGTGGAGCGGGAGGTAATGGGCTTGATTTTGCCACTTACATAACCCGGAGTTAGCACACTTCCGGTTTGAACTCCAAATTGATGGTGCTGTAACGCACAGCTGCAGTTCTGCAACCCAGTGCAAACCATACCCGACACGTCCTTGCATAAATGACCCGATAAGAGGATTTTTGTATGTGCCATCAGATTTGGCGAGGATTCACTCGTCGCTGACCGCTGAGTGTTTCTGGTAACAGCGCTGCGTGCGGCACAGAGGTCTTGGTTTGATATACTACATGTCACCATTTGGTGCAACTGACCGGCCGCAGGCACCGCTGCAGACTCAAACCATCTGCCGGGCATCACGTCAAAATGCAAGGTCATACCAGTTCCTGTGCCAGCGCTCGCTCCTATCTCTGACGAGAGTAACGCCTCAGCGAACGGTCGAGTAGTCACCCCCGCGAGCCCAGCGTAGGCGCTAGGAAGCCAACTACAGCGCAGACTGATTGGCGCGGCTCAACAGCAGTCTGGCGCATTTTTCAGTCATCCAGGCATGATGGAGCCGGTTTGAAGGACAAAAATCATCCCTCGTTGCAAAGGGATTTCCGTGGCATCTACTTCAACATGCTGCAAATGCAGCTGCAACAGGAGGAAACATGATAGAAAAACGCCACTATTGTGGCTACCGGGTGATGACGTGGGACTAGGTCGCAGGTGAAAACACTCGGCCGCCGGGCTCATACTTAACTGCACGCGCTCTTCCAGACCTGCCAGAAACAACGTACGGCCGCCGACCAATACGCGGTGATTCGTGCAATTCAGCTCGAGCAGGTTCCCAAGCAGTTCATCATGCATGCTATCTCCTTGTTGAACAAAGGTCTTTTTGAAATGTTTGATGTCTGCCTGAGTGCAGCGGGCTCAGTCCGGTCAAAGGACACATCGGTGCAAGGACACACATCACATCAATATCACCGGTGCAGAGGAGGGACGCGTGCTATTTAAGGACGGTCCGGAGCAATGCTCACAATCCGAGGGGTCTGTGTTGTGACGCCATCTGCACAATTCTAGTCTACGCCGACAGCAAGGGTCCGCCGAGAGACCCGCTCCCGGAAAACCACCGGAGCCGCCAGGACGACTTCTAGCCGGCACAGCTGCCGCCCCGCACAGGGGCTCCAGACCCTATGGTCAGCGCGTGCCCACACCCTCAGCGGTCGCCGGAGTCCGAGCAGCGCCCGGATGGCCCAGGAGCGTCTGCCGTTCCACCCCCGACCCGGACGGGCCGGCGCCTCCCCTCTGCCCGCTCCAGTGCACATAATTGCCGCCGGCGGCCGGTGTAATGCCATCTCGGTGACCCCCATTTGAAGGCGAGCCCGGTTTTTGTCGACGCCTCGCCGCAGTATATATGTGTCAGCGGTGAGGCGGCCGGCGTCTGCGGCGGCCGCGCTCGCTCGGTCGATGAACTCTCTACCTGTTCCAGATTCGGTGGTACCGTTGTGTGGCGCCCGCGGCCGCCGCAGCAGTTCTCTTTCAGAGCCGGCGGAATGAGAACGAAAGTCCGGCTAGCCGACGCGCCGATCTGGGTGACGCCTGCGCGCGCCGGCCGCCCTGGGGCGGCTAACGGTGCCTGGGCCGCACTGCCGGCTGGGAGCCCGGCGCGGACGGAGCGGTCGCCGGCGTGCGCGGAGCGCTCACCGGCGCCGCCAGCCCTCCGGAGATGCCATGCCACTGGGTAGGGAGTGAGGCGATGCCAATGCAATGCGAGCGTGGTCCGGGCGTTTAAGGGCTCAGCGGCGGGCACACAACGGTATCACGGAATCTAGAATGTCAGGGCTGTTGGTGGTGGCCGTGCATGTGTGGCGAAGACTCTGGAAGGACGAAGAGAATTGTTCCGTTCGTGGAAATGTGGGACGTATCGTTGAAGATGAGCCGGAAGCTTCCACACTCTTCTGCAGCCTAAGATTCAATCAAAATCCATGCCCAGCTACAAAGGAGCAGGCCGACTTTCGATGACTTCTGAAAACTTGCTTTCTAACTGAGGAAATTGCTCGGGTTCACCCAGTAAAGACTTCAACGCAGCCCGTGGCATTACCACGAGATATGAACGCGGCATGGCAAGGTAACACGGCATAGTCTTGCAATAAACAACGCATTCGGGTAGTCGATAGACATCTTTCCAGGCGGCCGATGTGCCGGTCACGAGCCGAGCTGGGTGTGGGGGCCCGGTCGTGACACTCGACCCGTGTTTTCGCAAAAGCCGGTGTTTCGCAAGATGTGCACGCAGCTTACTACGCAGCTAAATTACGAACAGCGTGATGCAAATGCAGCACGCGGGTACTACACGCAGCATTGATGTATAGATATTCGTCTTTCGCATTTGCACCGAGCTCACAGAAGCGCTGCAAATAATAATGTTCCAACAACTGCAAGCGGCGACGAAACACCAGCAGGAGTGCAGAAGATCATGCAGCGTGCACAGCTCCTTGGATGACGTGCCGATGACAGGGCCAGACCCACCGGCTTTCGCAAGCGGAGCTCGAACACATGCCAGCGGAGCATCCGCCACGCTCGGTGTCGCGCGGCTCCTGCACATGGGGAGGCCCCTCGCGCCGCGTCTTTGCAGCGCCTGCTAGGCTGAGGTGGCGCCCCTGGCCAGTCCGACGCCCCTGAGGCGATCGGCACCGACCGAGTCGAGCGGGCCGGACGCCGGCCAACTTTCCCGGCTGGCCTGCGGCGCCTCGCTTCACTTTCCTCGGACGTTGACCCCCAGCGAGGTCGGCCGTCCGTACGGCTCAAAATGCCGGCGTAAAACACGGCGCCGCACCCCTGTTGGCGGGCCGTAATTGCCGCCCGCCGCGCCGGCTGGCTCCCACGGCGACGGACGGCGAGATGCGGCGACGGCCGAGCTGCAGAGAGAAGTTCAATGCTACGCCGGCAAGACTCGGCGGCTCCAGCGGCAGCTATTGGCGGGGCGAGACCAACAGGTGGCCAACAGCCGCCACGCTCACGTGAATGGTCCAGCAGGCGGCCCTCCTAAGGAGGACGTTAGCTGTCGAGGCGTTACAGCGCGAGCAAAAGCGAGCACGGGAGGAATGCGGAACTGGGACGGACGGCCGGCCTTGGTAGCTGCTCCTGAGTCGAGAAGCACACACTTCCACGATAACTCCACCTGCAGCGCAGAACTATACGCCAGTGCTCTAAGCCTCCGCGGTGGAGTTCTAATCCGCAGACGGGGCAAACCGCGATACTCTGTACCGTGCGACCGCTGCGCAAAAGGGCGCCCCCGGACCCGAAGAATCCGACGGAGAGGCGATCCATGCCACCCGTAAGCCTCACCCACGGACGTGCAGACCGGGATCCGCCTTGGGGCACACTAATACGGGTGCAGTGCTAATCGCATGACCATTTGCAGACGATGGCTTCAGCGCACTACGCTCGTGCACTCCGGATAGGATAAAATCGTTAGAGGTTGAAGCACTTGCACTAGTGGTCGCCTCAACGTCTTATGAGTTCAAAAGGTGTGTTTTAGCAACCCACCGCTGCAGATGCACCCAAAGCCCAGATCGCTTACAACAGCCCGTAAAGTTTCACGAATATAGAACTATGTGGAGCATTTGTCGCACGCAAATTTGCATCAGAGGGGAGCTACGAGCTTATCCCAGATGCAATGGACTTGCCTCTCCTTGAGAGCGCGATCAGGAAAGGCCGGACAGCGAAGAAAACTCAGGAGGTTCGCGACCTATCCAGCAGACCAGATCAGCGCCTCTGGGGGGTGTCCAGGGCCTCCGGGACCTCTGGAGGCCAGTCAGAACCCCGGCCGCGCCCGCTGCTCTGAGACGAGCCCTCGAGGCCTCTTTGGAGAGCCAGTGGGGGCCCAGGCGCCGCTCAGACGTCTGGCCGGCCTCTAAGTCGGTCAGGTGGGTTTCGTTTTCACTGCCGGGCGGCGGCGGCGGCGGCGGCGGCGGCGGTGGCGGCGGGTTCGACGGCCGGGCGGACCGGGGCCGGTGGCCGCGCCCGCCCGGCCGCCCGCCCGGCCGCTGACCCACGCCCCGTCAGGAGCCCGGCGCCGCCGCGCGCCTCCGTCGCCCGACCGCCGACCACCACTGCCAAAGGGTGGACGACTTACGGCGGAGAGCGACTGCATGCCAGGACACAGACGGCATGGGACGGATGTGGGGGGGATGGGAGTGTGGAGCGATAGACTAGGGAGCGATGACTTCGGAACGGATTTTGTTTTACGACCTGTTTTGCGTTGTGGTGCAGCGTCACCAGCAGTTAACCGCTTCCTTTTTCCTCGAAGCAAAAAGAAGGATACGGTAATGTCAAAAGAAATTAGGTGAAAAACGCCGGCTTGATATACATTTACACTGTCATTGACTCTAAGGACATCCATCAAAGCCTTCGACGGGATTTGTTTACGTGACCATGCGCTGCTCAAACAACGGCGTATCAAAATATTGCGAGGTGATGACATCGTTATCAAGCACGTTTGCATCGACGGACTAATCGCCACCAGAACATTGGCGTGAGACACGCAATCTCAGCAGGCCTGTGGTGCTGGTGCCGCACATCTCACTAACTCGCGTCACTGATCAGCTACGCCGTTTGCAGGAGAACGTCAAATAAGGTAGCCTAGCACAGTGCTGGAGGATGCGTCAAAGGACAGCACGCATGAAACTAAACTTAAGCAATGAAGATATTGACAATAGAGAAGTTGCGTCTTGATGGCCTACAACATTGAAGTAAATGATCCCAGAAACAACTGCTGGAAGTACAACTGCCAGGAGCAGGCTGTTGTCTGACAGATATCAGGGTTTTAAAAGCAAACGTTGCATCTTGTGTGCCATGATCCATGAAAGGTGTAATCCCATTGCATGTCACCTAAACAACCGATTCCCTTAAATCTACTCTTCATGGTGCGCAATATCGGCCCAGCCGTTGGTACGCGCGTCCCTGAGATTCGATGTCTTCCGGCCAGATATAACCTTGAAGATGAATGGGTTGTTTTGTACTCGACGGCGAACCCCAACCGCCGTCCTGTCTCCACTGCCGACTGACCTTTGCCGTCGGCACGCTGCACCCCGGTACGAAGCAGACCACAGGCCACCGCTGGGCTCCCTCAGGCGCGCCTGAGAGCTAGCCGATCAGGCTTCACCAGACCCGCTCGCTGGGACAGCCCTCGCGCGCACACACCGCACCGAGCACCAAACGCGATCTGCCGGCCGGCGCTTCCATTCGCGGCGAGTGGCCGGCGCAGCGCGCATGCGCGGACGTCCGCCTGACCTTAGCAGGGATGAACTCCCGGCCTGGATCGGCGGCACCGCGACCGCGACAGCTAGACGCGCGACAGAGCGACCGCGAACCGCCTGCGGCCGTTCCGCACGGAGACGCCCCCCCCCCCCTGCCATCCACCCCCGCTGCCGTCCGCCTGGCGGCCGCGGGGCCGACAGCGGTCAACGGCCGGCGGCGACCGCGGCGGCGGCCGTGGCCTTCGCCGGTCGCCAAGGAGAGCGAGCCGGGGGTCACTGCCGTGTTTTAGTTCGTTCACTCGCGGCCGGCGCGCCCCCGCCGCGCGCGCGGCCGCCGCGTGGTGACGGGCACTGGCTGTCCGCTGCAAGCTCGCCCAGTGGTCGTCGGCGCTCAAAACATGACGGAGCTTGATGCTCAGCAGTGTGTGCAGCTTCGTGTGAGTGCGATTTTGACTGTGCGTCAGAGGAGACATGGGATTACCAGAGGATCCGGCAAAAGAGATATATGTAGAGGGCTGCGGCTGACGAAAAAAAGATTGCAGTTAAAGTATAGAGAGGCGCCATGCTTGTGTACTGTCACTGTGGATAGCTCGGTACTGAAATATAGCCGGAAAATATTACGGAGAGCATAAACAGCATATTTATGCGGCGCCGATATGCCGCCTCAGGTGTATGCGTCTGCCCATACAACACGGCAAAATGGCGCAATATGTGAAGGTGTAATACTTATTAGATGCTTCAGCGCGGTCATATGAAGGTTGTAAGAAAAGGGCTGGAGAAAATGCGACATTATCTACGACTTGCAATTGCGATTGCAACGGGAGCAGAACACAGTTTGTGTGGCGTGGAATATCGAGTGTGGTGCCGCGTTACGTAAATACATGAAAAAAGATATATTGCTGGAGATATTGAGGAAATTTGGGCTGTTGCTATACTTTTTTCGGGCGTGCAAGGGGCGTTTCTACCGCTAGGATCAGGGTTTGATCTCAACGGACTCAACAGACTCTCGTGCCGTATTTTAAAAATCATTGACAGCACATCACGCGTCATGTAAGGCTGGCTGTTGCACGTCAAGCTGTCCTTACCAGCAGGATTGACAAAAATCGTTCGGGCTATCGTGGGGTCTATTTTAAGGAGGTGTGATTGGAAAAAGGTGTTTCTTCTCAGTGTTGATCTTAGGAGTTTTCGCTTTGATGTCCTTTTAAGGCGCTAGTTTGCGGAAGCTAGGACGCTAATTTCATCAGAGGGAGCATCGGAGAATGCTCGATCAACGGGTAACTACGGATGAGCACTCAGCATTACAATGCCCTGTGTTAAGCTGTCACGCACATAGTGAGCCGCCACCTGCTTCAGTGATGGGTGGGTGCTCTTAACACCTAAAGATCAACATCATATCATAGCATCATAGCATAGCATAGCACTTATTGGCATCATAGCATAGCCCTGTTAAGTGGGACTGCGAACGCCATTGTAGATCCCAGACGGCTGAGAAGTGGAACCAAGTCAGCCACATGAGACATAATCCCTCCGAAACATAGCGCGACATCTGCTACACCTACAGTTACGGTGCCAGCTGCCAAATGTGACACTGGTCGTAGATGGCGTCGAACCAACCTTGTTTTACTGTTTGAAAACTGGGGGCATGAGAGAAGATGCGGCAACCTGGCCTGGGCTAGACATTTTCGTGACATCTCCCAACGATGCAACAGAATTATGTTCCCTGGCAGAGGACGGGCTATTCATATCAACAAACACACTGGCAAAACTGGTACAAGTTCCCTTTCTTTCCCACGTCACGTACTGTGCCCTCCATAACCTTGGAGCAAATAGGCGTCATCGCCTGCAAGAGGTCCTAAACGGCGCCGCACGGACAGCGACAAAAACACCGCACAGTGTACACATCAGCCTTCTGAAACACCGCACAGTGTACACATCAGCCCTGTGCTCACGCACCTGAGTTGGAAAACCATTCAAAACCTTTTCCAACACAAAGCTACACTGCCGATACATCGCGCCGCCTACTCACTGCCGTGCCTACGTCGTTAGTGAGACTGTTTAAATCAAGATGAGAGGTGGGCCGACGGCAAACTAGGGCCAAGCGCAAAGAGCTTCACTTACCCAAGGTGAGAACCGAGCTAGTGTGCAGACTGTGGCAGTACTGAGCCTCCGGGCTGTAGCACGTCGTTCCCGAGGATGCGAATGCCACACGGCATAGACGGCCCGTTTAGTCGGAAGCTGCCCTTTCAACAGTCCCAGGTGTTTGCTCCCGCTAGTCTGCGGTATATCGCATGTGTCAATTATTATGTTCACTGTCTGCTTTTACTGGTTCCTCGCGCTATTTTGACCTCGATGTGCTTTTCATCTTGACCATGAGCCGTTTTTGTGTAGGCAATGCAAGAATGATGTTGATTATGAAGTTTTGTATATGACTTCATGTCACTTTTCATCTGCGGTTTAATGGCACGTGGCACGACAGGTGACAAGTTTTTTTGCCGCAATATGAATGTTACGCTCGTTTGTTTCTGGAAATAAATTTTCGTGACGACTAATGCCATACAATTTCATAACTGCAATTAATCAATGTTTAATCAGCCTTGAACCGTGCAACCGATATCGACCCAATTCTTCAACCTTTATCGACCCAATGCCTACATTAATCGGACCTATACAACCGATGTGTTAATTAACCGGATCTATCATCCAGCGATAACATTCCTTCTCCACCTTATGTTTGTATTTGGATACAGCGTACCGCTTTGGAAGCTTTTCACAGAATGCACCGAATTCGAAAAGCTGTCACACCAACTCAACGATTTGGAATATAGTCATCACAGCAGCCTGAACACTTTAAACCATGATCTGGGATTTATCAGATCATTTGTCTTAGTCCACGCCTTTTCTTCGCTTAATTGTAGGGTCTTAGTTTGACCATCATTCTGAATTCAAACGATGTCGTCGTTTATCATGATCTAAACACGGTCTTCTGTAATTGATGTGATGCATTGAAACTTATTCAGAAATCATAAGATCGCTTCAGTCTGCAACGGTTCGTCATCAAGTACCGAGACCCGCGAGCAGAGCGCAACTTTCACGGCGCTTGGCCCTGTGGAGCTCATGAATCGTCCGCTTCGACGAACCTTGCAACAGAACCCACCGCGCCGCCAATCACTCGGCGTGGACCGGCGTCTCCCAGCTCCGCGCTCGACTCTCGGTCAGCCAGTCAGACCCCATCGCTGGAACCGCTACCTCACCTGCCGGCAGCGGCTCGACCGACCCGCCCCGCCCAGTGACCCTCACTTCCGGTTGACACGGCCCCGGGCGGCGGGACTCCCGGCCGGTCGACGGCGTCACGTGACGATGCGTCACACGCACGCGGGTCGGCGTCACCGCCGCGTCAGTGGAGAGTACGCGCCGCGCGCCCGGAGAAAGCATCGAAAGTGGTACGCGGCGCGGCCGTCGCTCCCAGCTCCTGGAAGGCTCCGGTCAGGCCGGCTGGAGGTGCGCACCGCCGCGCCCACGAGCCTACATTCGACCCGGTCCAGGTCCGCGTCAGCGTTCGGTCCAGCTCGTTTCACCGATTCCATGTATTTCCATAGTCAGTGAGCGAACTTCCCAGTAGACGTAGTAAGACATCAGCACTTGACTTTCGTAGGTGGAGTTCTTACTCTGTGGCAGGTAAGTTGCCCCTATGCATCCTGACTGAATGCATGGAGCGTGCGATATAATCTCGAAGATCCACTGCTTCGGAGCTGCTGCAATTGATAGAAATCAGAGACAAACCGACAAGTTCAGGGCAAACGTTCGCAAAATCACTGTCAAATGTCTCAGAACGGTTCGCATACTACAAGAACCCGGCGTGAGCCGACTCAGCCTGCAGCATCCAAGCTTAGTTAACCTGGTCATAATCGCAGTTAAATACGTGCTTCAAAAACGTTGTCTTTGTTGGTACAGCTTCAAATTATGATGCACTGCAGCTTACCTGAATCTCGTGAATCCGCATCTAATCTGGATATTGGCCCTGCACCAAATGAATAGCGTTCAAAGCCCAAAACATGACGCTAATTTCGTCATTTCTTCATTCATAATTTTAGTCGCTGAGCATTTTGTCCTGACATAGGGGAAGCTCGGTCGGTCATTATTTTTGAATGGGCGGCTCGTCGTGCCAAACACAGTGTGGACGAATTTTTAGCTCAACAGAAGGTTGCGTGTAAGGAAGAGGAAAATTGTCTTACAATATGGTTGAAATTGCGATTTCTAGCTGTATTGCTTTTACGTCTCGTAAAATTGCTTAAAAAAGCTTCTAGTGCAAGTGAACTGCCCAATATGTCTAAACATATTGGGTTATTGCTTCTTCACCATAGGGGGGAGGGAATATAAATATTGGGCAAAGTAGGATTGATGCCTAGATTGTGTGTTGCATTACCTCTCTCCTCCCCCCCCCCCCCCCCACCGCACGTGCACTCAACACATCATCTGTTCACTGGTCATGAAAATTGTCATAGCCTAAAAGAATAAATCTGGCATTGATGATCCATAACTTGGTGGGGCAGGTTACTTGTAAATGAATTATGTCGTTTACCAGTGCGCGCCTCCAAAAATTACGTGCGAGCCAAATACCTTATTTTTTAAACGATGAACAGTACCTTCGCTTCCTTTAATGTTTTTTAGTTGACTTTTGCATGACTTGAACCCTTCTTCGGCGTAGACCAGCAATGGAGACCGGGATGTAATTTCGCAAAAAGAATTGGGGGCTGAACATTGAAGAATGCCGAAACATGTCCCCAGATTACGCCGACAAACGGGTTTCTCTCCGTGTTTGGCCCTTTTTCTGCTCCAAGTTGGGTTGAGGTGGTTGGAGATGCCTACTGAATAGGACACATTTCCCCAATAGTTGACTACTTGCTGATGTGTTTGAGGCGACAGCGCTTACGCATGTGTTAAGGTCTAC